GCGGCAATTAGTCCCGACGGAACACCAAGCACTTCTTCGGCCTGAAATCCCACTCAATTCACTAACGTCCATCGACTACCAACACTCATTATGTAGTGAATGCAAAAATCAAAAATCTACATTCAATTTCACTGAACATGAAAACGACAAGCGAAGATCGTTGTTCACTAACCGCATTTGCCACTCGTCGAATCAACGTATCGCCGCTAAACTCATCAATTGCTTGTCCACCAATAATATAGTCTCGCCATATCTTTGCAAATAGCACACCATCTGCCAAATCTTCCACACCGTTGATCTGAAACGTCCATTTCTGAATCATTTTTACAGACTTCAAACTTCAAACGCATCCAGAAAACCTCAAATCCAGACTGATATCTGCATCAAATGCACCCTCAAGATTTCCATAAGAATCGCCTTCTCACTAGAAGTCATCCTTTCGATGCTATACACGACAAACCTTGAATATGCCATAATTCTCTGCCAATTGTCGATAAACATGCATCAAAAGTTCAGCGCCTTGCAGATTCTTCGTTGCCGGGCCGTACATTGACTGACGTCGATTACAATTCAATCGAATCGACTCACGACGCAAACCCTCATCCATTTGATGCTCATGTGCCTGAACGTGAGTTACAAATAAACACTAAGCTTGCCACAATAACCATACCGACAACATAAGCTCTACAAAGAAGGGAAACACAGAACATCAAATGAAAATAACAATAAACCAATTATACGAAAATTTTTCAAGTGATTCGAAAAATAGATAATCAAAACGATTCGTTAACTTAACGACAACGTGAAAACTCACCGCAAATACACCCACTAAACGCCAAACGAATTCCAGTGTATCCTTCAGATTACCTTGAACGATTGTTTCTGCTCTCAAATCTAAAATTATTCACGTTGCCATTCAAAAAAAAAACAAAACAAATCATCGCATTCAAAAATAACTCTATTTTCCCGCATTGAAATTTCGTCAAATATCCACACTACCACCTGAATACTTTGTATGCA